CCCGAACCTTGTGGCGCTCGTTTGGAGTTGGGAGCTACTTGTGGGCCTAATTGATTGTTTTTCTACGAGCTCGGAGCTCCGAAACTCCACTCCTGGCGAGGATCGCCGACTGGGATCCAACCGGGCTCGTCGATCTGGGCTTTGGGATCTGGGATCTGGGATCATCTCACAATGTTGGTGAAACGAAATGAAGACCTCAGGGGCAATATATGGCCGAGCGGCTTGTTATCATTGGGCGTGTTTTATTAACTTTTAAGCTGCCATGCACGCGAGGGGCCATAAAAAAGTGCAACTGGCGGTGGCTCGACAACTGCAAAACTGCAAACTGCAAAAGTCAATTAAAAATTTTTTACATTTGTTTGCACACACAGGAACGGAAAAAGAAGAGTTTCGTTTTGGCTTTTTGGCCCCACCATCCTGGCGCGATAATCATAACTGCAAAAAAGTAAGAAAACTACGCGCAGGCGTCGCCCGTCGATAATTTATGGCCAAAAAGCGGTGGCCAAAAGGGCGAGCGGCTTGGAGTTGGCGGTTGGCAGTTGGCAGTTTGCAGTTTGGAGCACAGGTGATCCCTGGCCGGCAAGCTGGTGTATTGAAATATCATCTTGCAACCATTTGCCGTTCAATTTGCGTTCGCAACGCTCTTTTGATTGGTTTTTCCAGCCCATCACCCGCCCGCCCGCTCGCGATCCACGCGATTCGACTACAAATTGATTGCCTTAAAGTAACTTGTAAAATGCATCTAAGAGATGCACTCGGAGAAATATAGCATAAGTAGCATATATTTTTTTAATTCTAAAAATACTGTTTAGAGAATTCCTAAACATTTGTTTTTGTGCGACGAATAAATATTGAAATCTCTACTGATTTTATAGGGGTTGTTGAGGTGTAAAAAGTATTTTGATTTAAAATATTACATCACAGATTAAAGAGTTTGTTCAAATTAAAATCAGCTCCTTTAATCTTAAGAGTTGTATTTAAAAAATCTGTCATGTATTTAATTCACAGGCGATAAATAAAAGGTTTCGCCTGCTATATAAAGTCTTTTTCTGAGCAATACTTTAGGTGTTAAAGTAAAAAAGGTATTAGTACATAACTAAATCGTATTTGATTATTTTGCAGATATCTTTCTAGTTTATTTGTATTTCTTGTTCACCAAATTTTCTCAGTGTGGACATTCCCCGAAGTTCCTCTGCTGTCTTTGCTGCTTCCTGGGCTCCTCTTTCAGCCAAAAACAGAAGCAACATTACAAATGTGTGGCGTTATTGCCACGGGGGAGGAGTCAGGAGTCGGGGATTGGGGATTGGGGATTGGGGAATGGGGATTTGGGAATGGGAGTTGGGAACGGGAGTTGGGAGTCAGGAGCATCGACTTCTTTTTGATTAAAAAAGGAAAAAGTGGGAGAGCAGGAGGTTGAGTTGAAGAAGGAGTTGGATTCGGCTGGAAGTGGATGTGGCTGTGGCTGTGGCTGTGGATGTGGATGTGGTTGTGGATATAGACTGGCTGCCCAAAAGCAATCGATGTTGTTAACAAGCATTTCAGCGCATGACAATTGGCATGCACACCTCCGGGCCATTAATATGCAACCGATGCTGACACATTTGGAGCTCAACTCCCGAGCTCAAAACTCCTGTCATTCTGCAACTATCGAGGGGAACGGGGCCTCGGTTATTTAATCACAGAAAATCCTTCGAACATAAATAACATTTCCCCGACTTATTTGTACAATTTGTTTGCCTGTTTTGACAGTCGGGCTTTGCAGGCATTTTCGATCTTATAGACTTCGATTTGATATAAAAGTAGCAGGCTTTTTGCTGTGGGGAAGTTAAAAAGATGTGGTATGCAATTGCCCATCAATTTATAGGTGGTTTGCAGGGCTCTGGAAGTAATTAGAAATATAAAAACGAATTAGTGATGGGTGGATCCCTATAAAAGGCACCTAAAGCTTTATTTTAAATGCAATTAGTTTTAAAGACTTAATTATAAATCAAACTGGTTAGAAATAATACTCTTAGAATATAAGCAAAATGGTGTTCATGGTGTTTAAGTAATTTATAATCACAAACATATTGGTACCAATTATATTAATGTAGTCCAGAGATATGTAAAAGTATTTAATATAGATTTAATAATTAACTTAGACTTTTTCCTAACAAAATTATTTTTTAATAGAATTGTTTGTATAATAAACTGAACATGTCGTTCGTAAGCTTCTCTTTTATATATATATTTCCTTCGCTTGTTTTCCTCCTTCTCTTCATATTTTTCATACTACTGCAAATAAATCCTTCGTATCCTTCCCGCTTCCTTTAAATTCCCCAGTAAAACACTAGACGGGATGCTTCGTATCCTTCCCCTCCTATCAGTTTCATAATTTCGTTAAGCATTTGGCACCTTCCACGACATGCAAACCCCATCGAACATTGTCACGTTTTTGGATTCGCATGTTGACGCCAAATATCAATTGTCGCACATATTTGTATAGGCCAAATATGAGGGGGTTTCCCCCAAAAAGCGGGGATGTATTGTCCTTTCGCCGTTTTGGGGTTCATTTGCACATCGCTGACTTGTGTCGCGGATTTTTGCGGTGTCGCAATGATAAAGATGTTGCCGACTGCGATTGAACATGCAACCCCCGCCGGCAGCAGCAACACGCACAGCAGCAACATCAATTCCCCGCAGCAACATCAGTTCGGTTGCAGGACAAACAAGCGAGTGAGAAAACCCTCCCTCACTCACTCGAATCTCAAGGGTGCGTTCAATTGTGTCAATTTAACGCCTTTTACGGCCCACCAACCTCGAATCATTTTCACCCCCCTCCAGCCCATTATAACCCCCCTCCAGCCCATGATAACCCCCCCTCCAGTCCATGATAACCCCCCTTTTACGCCCATGAAAACCCCATCAAAAAGCCCCTTTCCAATGCTGTTGCACGTTGGGCATATTAATTATTGCAGAGCAACGGTTTCAAATAGATCGCTGATGTCGATGATGTTTAGCCCACTCGATTTGCCACCAGCCTTAATTATCCATCCGATGCGATGGGTTTGGTTGGTTTCATCTGGGATATCGGGATATTTGCCAACTGAATGCTCGCTTTGCGCCGGCCAAACACGATTATTAGTAGTTGCCTGTCTAAATATTGGAAATTGTCAATGCGACTGAAGCGCTGCTAAATGGTTTATGGATATGTGAGGCTGGCGAAGGACGTGGACTCATCCAAAGGATGCACAGCGGATGAAGGATGCAAACACGGATTGCTGGGAAGGAAGAAGGAAGCTTCTCCGTTGCAAGAGTGGGCGTTGTTTTGTTAACTGCAATTGTAATTAAATTGCTAGTTGCACAAAGCGGTTGTAGTTCATATGGAGTGCCTCCTTATATGTCTGGCATCTATATTAATCCCTGTTACTTAAATATTGTTGTTTCAATTTAAATAATACAATTTTTTAAGGCTAATTTCACAGCGAGTTTAGTTAAATGATTGTATCAATATATTAGATCAATATTGGTATTATTTAAATAAATATTTTATTCGCACTTTTATAATTGAGTTAATAAAGGTGAAAGGAACAGTCTTATTCTAATTTGTGTTAATTAATAGATATTTATTAACAGGTGTTATAATACATTTTATTTTTAAATAATTGATAAATTTATAACACTATTATGATTAGAATGGAACTGCACTTGATGCCTATATTTATTTCGATTTAGAATAATGTTAACCAAGAGTTTAGAGTATCTATAAACTTGTAAATAATACTGGATATATTTTGCCCTTTGCCAAAATTAAGCAATGTTTACGTGCGACCCAAAAAGCCTTGGGGCGAAATCTAATTAGCATTGCGCATTATACCTACATTGTTATGAAAGCTAAAGGCTTTGTTTAATTCCCTTGAGCTTGTATTTATTTAATCCCATTTTATTTGCAGAACCCTTGCCTTAAATTAGGTAATATTTAGTCCCATGCCCACTGGCTACATGTAATCACAGTTTTCAAGAGTCTCGGGTCCCTGGAAAATCATCAAATTTATAGGCTTAAAGACGCAACCTGCTGGCAGGAGCAAAAGGCAGTCGCGCTTGCCTGGCAAATATCCTTGATATCATTTAGTCAACTGGAAAAAATTCAATCAGCATACTTGGCAAATATTCAACAGCGCTCTGGATGTGGATGTGGATGTGGATGTCGATGACGATTGTTTGACTGAGCGAGCAGCCCAGAGGGGGCGGAAAATGGGGGT